TAGAGTTCAGCATTAAGTCAAAGATTCAGAACTCTTTAACGTCATTTACCCCATGACCATGCATCATAACATTTCCTGCTGTAATTGCATTAAAAAGAAAATATATACAAAGCCAATAATAACAAAAGCTACTAAACCTGCTTAAGGGATTCAATAACAAATCTGCTGTATAATTATACTAATTGGAGAGAGCACAACACACAAAGCAGTTCCAGCAACGCAAAGAATGCTTTATTGTGACCATAAAGGCAGTGTAATGATACTATGTGCTGTGTGTGTTGCTTGGTTATTGAAGTGGCCCATACAAAACAAAGGTCTGGCGTAAATATTCTTTATAATTCTCATTAGCCACAAAGTCAACATGCTAAAACAAGAAATAGCTCATGTTGTCTTTGTTGTCTATTTTTAACCTGTTTTACCCTGGAGGGGTTCAGGTGAGCTCAGTGACATGACGTCGGCAACTAAGCTGAGCAAAGAGAAGGAAAATAGAAGGGTCAGAGTGACAAAATTATTTTTGATATTCAGTCCTGTTGACATATTGGAACACAAAAGGGAGCATGTAAAGTAAACAGAGCAATGAAAGGCATATTTACATCTTACACTTAGCGCAACAAAGACTGTCAAGCAAAGAGGAAAGAAAGTGAGGTTAATAATCAATCTATACAAAAGGGCCAGAGATTCAAGGGACAAAAAGAATTCTTTACTCTGGAGCCTTATAAGCAGAAAATACTTCACACCATTGAACGTGCAAAAAAAGGCTTCATGTATCAAAGTGTCTGCACTAAGAACTGTTATTAGTTCTCACAGTCATCAAACTCAACCCTTCACTGCCTGAAAATCACACTGTAGCTGTGAGAGAACTGACATGTTTTTAAATCTGAAACATTCATACATAAGGTTCCTGAAGAGTTGTGGCATTCAAACAAGTGGTAAAAAAATACTTACATTGGTCTCATATTTAGTATTTTAGTGATTTAATATGGAAAACAGAATATAGGAGCCAACAGTCAGTTTTCACTATTCATTTTATGAGAACTAAAAATTCCAATTGGTCTTCATGGGCAACAACTTTTTATTTTTGTTCAGATGCTTTTTTCTGTTATCTTTATGTCTTTAAATAAGCCCATTACAGTGTTAGTTCAAGTCACAAAGGCAGAAGAAGAGGTAGAATTTCTGTTCCATTGAGGATATTTTCCCCTCAACTCCTGTCGAGAGAGGCAGCAATGGAAAAACTCTCCAACAACAAAGATACCTGAAGGCACCCTGGCTGAAAAAGGCTGGTATGGAACACAGCCTGGATATTCATAGACTCTTGAACATCCCCAAGAAATCAACCTGAGGGGTGGGCAACAACAAGGCATGTCATTTGGCCCAACAAATCATATAAGGGTCAAAACCCAACTCCAGGGGCCTAGATAGCAACCTGGTAGAACTTAGGATAACTTATGAACTGATGACTAGGTGGTGGACTTACAAACCAATAGACTCTTAGAATGCTCAGGAAACCTCCACTGATCTGGTGAAGTAAGCATGTAACGGTACTGGAGGTACCATATCCTAAAGGGCATAAGTTCTTACAATGAGTGGTCTTACCTAGCAATAGTCAACTTGGAAGCAGTTTTTTTCCAAGACTCTGTTGACAAGACTAAAAGAGAACCCCTTATCTGGATAGAGGCTGTGGCTTTCAGGTAGACTCTGACAGCTCTGACTACATCCAAACAATGGAGGGCAATATCCTTCGGATACTTAGAATTGCAAAAAGAGGGCAATGTCTACATTGTAGTGGAAAGCTGATACCATTATCAGAGAAAGGAGGATCTTGGACATAAATCCACTATATACATCCTAAAATTAGGATGGGCTCCTTACAAGACAGAGGCACTCACTCTGAAACATGTCTGACAGACATAATAGCCATCGAGAAAACAACTTTGCAAGAGAGATTCCCCAAGGGGAGTTCACCAATGGGTTCAAAGGGTGGTTTCTGCAGGGCAAAGAGAACCAGATTGAGATTCCCATCCCAAAGAAAACAGGATGCTGTAATGAGGGTCTGAGTGGAAAGCTCTGAGCCCTGAGTAGTCTGATCCATGAGAAACCCTAAATAAAAGTTTTTACAAGAGAGAATGAAGCTAAAAACATTTTTGAAATGCCTTTGTTCAACCAGCCGAAAAAGGATCTCCAGATATAGGGATGAATTTTTCGGCAGTGGCTTTTTTGCCTTTGAATAATGTGGGAATGAAAGAGTCAGATATACCCCTGTCCTTCAAGACCTAGGCTTCAACAGCCATACTGTTAAAGCCAGTGACTAAGAAGCAGTGTGGTACAGTGGGCCTTGGGACAGCAGGTGTGGCCTGTTTGGAAGAGGCCAAGGGTCATCTCCTAGAAGTTTTAGTTACTCTGTGTACCAGGTAATTCTGGGCAAGTTTGGTGCAATGAGGATCACCAACTTCTTATCATCCTCTATTTTGCCATGCAGTCCAGGAAGAAACCACATTCAAGGGAAGATATATATTAACCTGAATGGAGTCCAAAGCATTAGCAGTGCTAGAGGATCCTTGGTCCTGGCCACAAAAAGGGTTGTCAGGAGTCAGCACAGGATATGACCGGATAAATGTAGCTACCCAAAGAAACTGGGACCAAACAATGTATAACGACGTAAATGCATGATCAGTAAGCAAAAAGACATGCAAACACCAGCAAATAGCGAACATAAACAACAAGTGGCCCAAAACCAAAAATGCCTAAGTAACAGAAATCTAGCAAACTATATACAATAAGTAAAACAATATATACAATATGAGAAGCAAGGGTGACAGGGGCAATGCAAGAAAAAGGGGGAATCAGGACTGGGTACAGGAACAAGGCAATCAGCAGTAAGGGAATAGGATGCAAGGATAGCTCAAGAGCAGGATTGATCTGGCAGCAAGAAAGGCAATCAAAACACTGGCGCAAGGTGTGTTAGTAGAGACAGGCTTAAGTACCCTCCCAGCAGTTGAGGCCAGGTGGAGCAGATTGCAGGACCCTCCTGGCTGCTGGGAGACACTTGCTGGTGGACACCAGAACTGCAGTATTTCATCCAGGGAAGCACAGTGCCACCAGCAGGTGAGCAAGATCCTGACACAGGGGTACATTGTTGTTGAACCTGAAGGCCAGGATGTCTCATTGAAGATGTCAGGATGAATGACCAATCCCCTTACAATAGTGCACTCCTGGGATGTGAACAGCAAAGATTGTTGAACAGGGCTTTCCACTCAGGAGATAAGATATATTTTATTCAAGGCTGCCTGACTCTTGGTTCCCCCCCGATAATTGTTATAGGCCACCGTATCTAATTGCACTCTAATTGGGTTTCCCTAGAGAAGGGGTGTCCAGTAATGCAAAACCATTTTCATCGCTCTGAGCTCCAAGATGTCAATGAGGAGCTTTGCCTCCCTGGGAGACCAGGTCCCTGAACTGTGAAAGATTGAAATGCTCCTCCCCAGCCTGTGAGACAGGCATCTGTTATCAGCTTCAATGAGAATAGGAGAAATGACTTTCCCATATCTGTCCACCAAGATAGGGAGTTACATGACTGAATGGAGAGAAGCACAGGAAAGCAAGAGATAGAGTGTTTTTCTTTTTCAGGCCAATAGAATGTTGTGTTAGGGGGGCCTTGAGTAGAACTGAGTGATGGGAACAGCCTCGTATGAAGTGACCAAGAGACCTAGCAGTCTCATGGAGACTCTCACCGAGGAATTTCTTTTGAATCTTAAGGTCCTAGCATGAAACCTTAGAGACAAAAGCTTGTTTTCTGAAAATAATTTTTCTGGGCTGTGTCTCTGATAAGGCCTAGTTATTGCAGTTGAAGGGAAGGCTGAAAGGAAGACTTATGGAAGCTTATTTTCTGGAAGAAGAATTATTGTCTGGATTGTGTCTAGGATGAGACCAAGGTATTCAAGATGAAGGGAAGGCTGAAAGAAAGACTTCTGGAAGTTGTTTACCCAACTGAAAACCTGAAGAATCTGGATAGTCCTTTGTACAGTTGCAGACAGTTGTCAGAGAGATGAATCCTTCAGAAAACGTAGGTAACTGGTAACCTGGTTGTCCTGGGTTAAGAGGGTGAACAGGGGTGCAAGCACTTTTGTTAATATTCTGGGTGCAGAGGATAGGCCAAATGACAGTGTTTGTTTCCAACAGCAAAGCGCAGAAAGGTCTGATGAGGTGGGTTAAGTGGGAATAAGGAGGTAGGCATCTTGACTGTCTACTGATGCCAAGTATTCCTCTTATCACAGAGAGGCAATGACTGAACTTGGAGATTTCCATGCGTAACCTGAGGATGTGAAGGTACTTGTTTGGGAATTTGAGGTCTGAAATAGGGCAAATAACCCCATTGGCTTTTTTACCCTGAACAGGTGTGAATAGAAGCCTCTAAACCTGTCCTTACGAGGGACCGGAACAGCCACTCTCTGGTACAAGAGATGGTCTAGTAAAATCTGTAAATTTGACTATCCTTAGGCAGATTTTGGTTTGCTTGAGAGAAGAAATGATGATAGAGTAGAAATGGAAACCCTACTTTGAACCCTGATAAAACAACTGAATGAACCTATAGGTCTAGGACGTCTGTAACCCAGAGGAATGCAAACCGTAACAGACATCCCCCCCACTCTTAGGAGGTAGGCCCTTGGTGGGTGTAGTTTTCCAATGTATTTACAGTATATATATATATATATATATATATATATAACGGGCGAACTGACCATTCGAGCACTCGGGCACTGCCCAAGGGCCCGGGATCATTAGGGGGCCCCATAAAATGCCCCTGGTACCTTTTATAGGCTTTTTTGGGTGTGTTTTGAGTGTGGGCAAGGACACAGGGGCCCCATGATCCCCAATTGCCCAGGGGCCAAATGAGTTGTCAGTCCGCCCCGTACTGTATATATCTTAATTGTGTATTTAGCCATTTGCCTAGAGTTCAGTTTTCATGCAACAAAGTTTCCCTTTCTTTACAGCTTTAAAAGACAGGGTAATGTGATACAAACTTACCAATTGGATTCCTGTCGAAAAACAACACTGGTGCACACAGGAGTGACTGGAACATTTGGTTGTGCAAAGCCTGGGCAGCAGAAACAAGGACTTGAAACACTAGTACGCTACGCAGAAGCCCAAATACGATGGTAGCCATAGTTAAACCTGAAAACATGCAATGCACAAATGTGTCATGTACTACAAATTAGGAGCAACAGTGTTGCAATATGTGACATGATAAATCTTCATTTAAAAAGCACACTGAAAGTTTCATCATATTTAATTTATTTTATCATTACCAACCAAATGCTTGCTAAAGGCAGGAATATCTCATATGTTTGTTATTCTACTTATGACATACACTTTCAAGTCAGTATGTTTTTGTTTTGCATAAAACACAGCAACAATAGCAATCAGAATAAAAGGGTGCATGTGATCCTTGGCATAGAAACCTAAGGCAAACTGACTGAAGATACTGAATTGTTTTTTTGTGCTGAAGATAAACTAAATATATCCATTCTGCTGTATTAAAACATATGACAACATAATTCCATGTATCTTTAAAAATACATATAGCAAGAAATGCAGTCTTCGCTTTTAAATAAAATGCTATATATACCAATTTGAAGTACAACTCCAAGTTTTGTTTAAGAATTTTATATTATTGCATGCATTAGTGTATGTTTTATTCACTACCATTTTCCAAAATATGCCATAAAAGCAGACAGTATATTACCTGCATAGACTCCTAGATACAATTTGTTATCCAATTTCTCGGTTTCAGTTACGTTGGTTCCTTCAGTGACATAAGTGACATTCAACTTCTCTTGCTCTGTCGCCCTAAAAAAACAAAACAGTCATCTCATCAGAACTCTCTTTGGAAACATGTCATTATATCCAGTGTTCGGCACATGACAGGAAGGCTAAGGTGCTGTCACTACTACTTCCAGCCTCCCTACCCACTGCAATATATGCATGCATCTGGCCAGAACTTTAAAGAGATATCAAATACTGAATATTCTTTCAGAAGAGAACCTGTGCCCAGGTCTTTGCAACAGAAATACCGAAGTCTTTCAAATTGGCAGCTGATCTCACTCTGGCCCTAATTTACCTCCTCTGTATTTACATTAGAGATTAGAAGACTGGAATGTTGTGCTACATCAATTCTAGGAAAGCTGCATGCCTAATTAAAGGTTCATGTGTGGTCCGGAAACGTTGGTTTTGCATGAAGAGCTTTGAAACAAAACTTGTCAGTGTGCTGGCAATATATTTCATCTATGTTGTACACCAGGGGTGTTCAACCTGCAGCCCAAGACAGGTACAGTGGGGAAAAACTGTTTTTTGTTGTTACACACCATAAAATGTCTTTCTCTGAGTTCATTGACAGACACGGAGTCTTCCATTCTCGACCATATGGTTATATCGACACCTACAGGTGTAGGAAACTAGGCAGAAAAAAAGAAACTTGGCACCGCCTATGGGCAGTCCTGGCTCATAAAAAAACCCCTTTATGTATAGGCAATCCAGTTAGTAACAAGCAGCGTCAGCAAATAAACTAAATTCATAGAGGTGTGGGTGCTGTGTCCGTCAATGAACTCAGAGAAAGGGATTTTATGGTAACAAAAAATCCTGTTTTCTCTTTCATTCATTGATGGACACAGAGTATTCCATTCTTGACCATAGGGACATCCCAAAGCAGTGCCAATAAGCGAGGGGTGGGAAAAAACAAGGCGAAAACCAGGTCAACAGGAGGAGCTCATTAGGAACACAGGAGCCAAACCAGAAAACAACCCACCAAAGAGAGAACATAAACCTCAAACAGCTGCCTGCAATACTTTGCGGCCCAAACATGTATCTGAAGATACCAAGACATCCACCTTGTAAAAATTTTGTAAAGGTGTGCACAGATGACCAGGTAGCCACCTTGATGATTTGAGACACAGAACTAAGGACGGTAGGACAATGTCAATGTCTCATTTAAATGAAAGTCAGAGACCACCTTTGAGAGAAAAGAAGGATACGGACGGAGAACTACCTTACCTTTTGTGCACCACCAAATAAAGAGACCTACAAGACAAGGCTGCCAACTCCAACACTCTGCGGGAGTTAGCAAGGGAATCTCCCTGATATTCTCAAATGGAGACTTTTGGAGAACAGAGAGGACCAGATTCAGATTCCATGGCGGCAACAGGGAGCGCACAGGAGGTGCCACATGTCTAACAAAAGTACAGATCAAAGAGTGCAAGGATAGAGGATGTTGAAAGAAAATGGCCAGAAACCCAGCCTTTGATGGTACTCAGCGCCAGTTTCTTCTTAACACCCTGTTGCAAAAAAGTCAAAATTCTAGCCACCGAAAAAGAACGAGGATGAACCCCCACAGCCTCACACCAGGATATATATGTCTTCCAGGTGCGATGGTATATCTTAGAAGTAGACTTCCGTGCCTTCAGTATGGTAGGAATCACTGACTCTAACAGACCCCTGTCTCTCAGAACCTGGCTTTCAATAGCCAAGCCGTTAAAGCCAGTGGCTGTAAAGTAGGGTTGAAGATCGGACCTTGAGACAGAAGATCTGCCCTGAGTGGCAGCTGCCAAGGAACGTCCGCAACCAGCCGCACCAAGTCGGCATACCAAGGGTGGCAAGGCCAAACCGGAGCCACCAAGATGACCAGAATGCCTTTGCAGCTGCTGGGGTAGAAGCTTGAGAGGAGGAAACGCATAGAGGAGCTGATACTGGCTCCATGACACCACCAGGGCATCCATTGCATCCACAAGAGGATCCCTCATCCTGGCCATGAATCTCTGCACCTTCCTGTTGAACCAAGATGATAGGAGATCCACATCTGAAGTGCCCACCGGAGGCAGATCTGATGAAACACGTTTGGATGCAGGGACCACTCGCCTTTGTCCAACATTTAACGGGTGAGATAGTCTGCCTGCCAATTTTCGACAACGGGATTGTGCACGGCAGAGAGCCGATACATGACGCTCTGCCCACCTGAGAATGCGGAAAGCCTCCAGCAACGCCACCACACCCCATAGTCCTCCCTGGTGTTTGACATAGCCCACTGCAGTGACATTGACTGGATCTGGACCAGGTGCCTCGAAGACGTTCGATCCACTCTTCCAGGCAGAGCCTGATTGCCCGAAGCTCCAAGCTGGCCCCAAGTGCTCCACCCCAGCCGAACAGGCTGGCGTCTGTTGTGACCACCGTCCAATGAAATGGAAAAAATGATTTCCCCTCCTGAAGGACAGGAGGCCGAAGCCATCAAAGCAGAGACCTTCTGGTCCTTTACCCCGACTGGGTGTCCAAGGAGTCGTGGAACTTGTCCCACTTGGACAAGATTTTCCTCTGAAGTGTCCTTGTATGGAACGGAGCCTACAGAACTGCATCAAAGGCAGAAACCATCATTCCCAGGACAGCAATAAGAGAACTGCCAATTGAATCTGTAGATTGTCCAGAGGAAGGAAAATCTTGGCCAAGGCCATGTTGAGAGTCAGTCCCAGATACTCCAGCTTCCTGGTTGGGTTCAGAGTGGATTTCTGGACGTTCAGGATCCACCCAAACTCTTGCAAGGTGCTGATCATGATCGCCACATCGTCCCTCAAGGCCGAGTGAGACTCCACGGTCAGTAGAAGGCCTTCCAGATAACTAATCACAGCAATCCCCTGTTGTCTGAGCAAGTCCAGGACCAGAGCCAGCACCTTGGTGAAAACCCATGGAGTGGAGGCGAGACCAAAGGGCAATGCCACAAACTGATAATGCTTTTCTCCCAGTGCAAAGCAAAGGAAACGCTGGTATCCAGTAGAGATTGGAATGTGTAGGTAGGCATCACTGATGTTGATAAATGCCACAAAATCTCTCTGATAAAGGGAGGCCACCACAGACCTAATGGACCTCATCTTGAACTTCTGCACACGCACAAAATAGTTCAGGGTATTGAGATCCAGGACTGGACGAAACTGTCCTTCTTTCTTCGGAACCGTAAACAGGTTGGAGTATAGCCCCCCAAAACCATTCTGAAGCCGGGACTGGAACAACCTCTCTGGAGGGCAAGGCTGGAATTCTACTTTGTATCCAGACAGAATCAGCTCCTGGACCCAATTGTTGGCAATCAGGGAGATCCACATTCCTGCAAAGCAACGAAGATGACTCCCAACCCTGGACACGGGTGGGGGCAGACCTTCATGCTAGGAAGAACTTATCCGCCGGCTTGACTGGCTTGGAAGTCCAGGGTCACGTGGTACCCCTGTAGGGGACCTTGAATGGCTTGGAACCCTTATCAGCGCATCTGGGGAGGGGGAAAAAAAGCTTCTTGCATGCAGAAAAAGAAGGACCGTGCTTGTCACATGGTTCTTTCCCTGTCAGGACTGCGTAAGAAAAGTACTCTTCACCCTCGTAAGATTTTTTATGATGGAGGGTGGGCCCGAAGAAGTGATCACCCTGGAAGGGCAAATCTGTGAGAGCCTTCTTTGATGTTTGGTCTGTAGACCAACATTCGAGCCACAGTACACGCCAAAGCACCACAGCTGAAACAAAAAGCTTGAAAAGCAAAGGGGCCACATCAAGGGATGCGTCACTCACAAACTTAAGACCCTGGACCAGTTGGTCCGCCAATTCTACATAAGCTGGGGGAACTTCCTCCCCCCCAGGCAATGCCGAAGGAGTTTGGCCAATTCATTGAGGGTCTGGGACACCAGGGCAGTGGCCAAAACCAGTCAAAGAGCCAAGCCAGCAATAGTTAACATCATTCGGGCACCCGATTCTGCCTTCCTGTAGGCCGGATCCTTAAAGGATGGAGACTCCCACACCAGTATCATGGTTGCTTTATTCAACCTTGAAATAGAAGGATCCATGACAGACGGCGCAGTCCACTTCTTCAGAAGGGATTGATCGGAGGGATAATGCACGGTAATCTGTTGAGGGACCAAAAAGGAACCTTCCCAATCCTTGTAAACAAACATGTCAAAATAAGGGGGATAAGGGAACACCTTCGCCGCATGCTGTGGCTTGTGCGTGCCAAAGAGGACAGACATCTCTGCGATCTCCCCAGAAGCATCCTCCATCTTTAAGGTTTCTCTCACAGAGATAATAAGTGCATCCACCAGCACCCTTTCATGGGTAACTGCAGAAGCAGAGGACTCATCCTCACTGTCGGAAGGGCTGGGGATCTCATCTGGCCGCTGGACTGTATGACTAAGCTGCTAGAGAAGGAAAGCCAGACCCCAAGAAAATGGCCACCATAGCCCCCCCCCCCCCCCGGAGCCCAGGCACTAGCAAGGTCCAATTCATTAGAACAGGCTGCTGCAGAGCTACAAGAAAATGGCTGCCACTCGTGGCAGCAAGGTCTTTGGTAAGATGGCTGCCGGGAAAAAGACACAATAAGCCCACCAAACTAGCCACAGGACCATGCAGCAGCATCACATGGCACCCACTACCCACACAGGCAAGCAAAACAACTTGTCAGAGCTGGAGGACAGCCTGGTACACAACCTCAAGGTAACTGCTAGCACCCAGAAGGTGGCCCAAAACAAGATAGGGCGTGGAGGGGGGCCCAGGAGCAAATCTGGCAATACAAGGGGTCTGGCAGGGAGGAGGGGACCCCGCAGGGCCGACTATCCCAGGGAGCACCCGTGCCCCATACTGCACTCAGAAGGGAGGGGGGAATGTTACTTACCAATCCAGGGAGGCTGCAGGTATGCTACAGAGACAGACCCACCTCTCAACTGAAGTGGGGGGGCTGTCAGCCAAGGTAGTGCTGTGACATGGACGTCCAAAGCCCGGTCACATGCACCCCTGCTAGACGTTTAACTTGACAGACGCCCCAGTCCAGGGTGGGG